TTAAAATGCATCTGTTCACTCTTGACAATAATCTAGAAACAATGTTAATGAATACCACAACAGCTTAAGCAGCATATTTTGCATAACACAAAATGTGTCACTGCCAAAACTTTGACTGTATAAATGACTGTATAAAGTCCATATCATAGTCATAATATCCAATTAGTGTTGACTTGAATTACCTTAATTTCTAAAGTAGTTAAGTAGTCAAGAATTAAAAAATTATCAAACTGAAGGAAGCACCTGTATTATTTGCTTAAAATCATATGATTATATAATTCATACAGAGTATGGAGAAATTGTTTGTAAAATCAAACTCATATTTGTGTGTTTCTTTATCACATATTGCCATTCAAAAGTTTGGGGTCAGTAAGCTTATTTTCTTTTATTAATATTGTGAAATAGCTGTTTTCTATTTATATCTATTATAAAATGTAATATTCCTGTGATGCCAATGCTGAATTAACAATTAAAACATTCTTTACTGTCACTATCAATTTAAAGCATGCTTGCTGAATAAAAGTATTAATTTCTTTCAAATAAAATTTTTTTGAATGGCAGTGCACTTTCACTGCTGTGCCGCATTTTTGCATTATAACTTAACACTAGTTTTAAGTCTATCAAATCAAATGGATTGAAATTCTTATAGTGGTGATACTACTTGTTTATCTGGATTCCTGTAGCATTCTATCTGTCAGTATCTCTACATTATGTCTGTTTTATTGTACAGCCTCTGGTGCCTTCATTTGAAAGAAATCTTCAGCCTTAGTGGGGGGCAAATACAGATTGTTTTCCTCCCCAATCTTTTCTTTCCAGAAGAATGTTTGTCTAGATAAACATTCTATCAAGGTACAGACTTTTTGATGGAGATGTGCAACTATGAGCATTGGTTACAAGTGAGTTACTGTATGCAACTTACACTTTTATGTATTACCCGGAGCTTCCAATAAAATACAACTAGATATCTTGAGATGATGTTGTATGTTTAATTGTTAGTTTAATTATTTTATATATATTATAATTTAGATGTGTTGGTCAGTGGAATGCTAGACAACATCCACAAATGATTATTAGGAAGACAGTAATCCAAATTAATCACTAAACACTAAACATTACCGTTGTATTTAGCAATATTATATGATTTAAAGGTATAGTTGACCCATAAATGAAAATTCTGTAATCATTTACTCTCAACCCTCAAGATGATTTTGTTTCAGCATTTTTCAACTGTCCATACAATGAAAGTAATAAAGTTTTACAAAATATCTGCTTTTGTATTCCAAAAATGAAATAGTCGTATGGGTTTGGAATAACATGAAGGTGAGTATGACAGAATTTAAATTTTTGAGTGAACTGTCCCTTTAAGTTTGTTGCAGTATAGCTGCCATTATTTCACATGCACCAGAACATGAAAGTGATTCTCACTGGATGAGTGCTGATTATTTTTTTCTTTCATATTCATCAGTGGGGTTTTTTAACGTTGAGATCCTCTCTGTGCAAACCTCCAGTGGTACTTATTGCAAGTCTTTTAGAGAGCACTGCGATAAGGACACCCTTCAGCGGGCTGTGCCGTTTAACCCGGACTACTTAAGAGGAAGCTCTTAAGAGTTCTTGCATGTGGATTAACTGGAAATTATTATTTTTAAATTTACAGAGGAGCTGTTACTATAATCTGCAGTGCATGACATGTGAACTGATGCTTGTGTTCTTGAGTGGGGAATCATAGAATAATTCAAATATTAATTGTGACCTGTGCTGGCAAAATGAGTCACAATTAGCAAATTTTCAAAAATGAGATATTTTTATGTTCACATTCTCCATTAAAAAAACCTTCAGAATGATGTATGATTTGTTGGAATCAGATGAAAATAACTGAGCTACACCCGTTTGATGTCGACAGAGTCAGCAAAGTAAATTTTGAGAAAAATCGAGTTAAAAGTTATCTGAAGGTTCCAAAGCAAAATCACCTGCAGTGTTGCATCTTTTCCTCCAGTTCTTTTCTTAATAATAATTAGGGCTGTGATTTTATGTTCACATTCTCCATTAAAAAAACCTTCAGAATGATGTATGATTTGTTGGAATCAGATGAAAATAACTGAGCTACACCCGTTTGATGTCGACAGAGTCAGCAAAGTAAATTTTGAGAAAAATCGAGTTAAAGTTATCTGAAGGTTCCAAAGCAAAATCACCTGCAGTGTTGCATCTTTTCCTCCAGTTCTTTTCTTAATAATAATTAGGGCTGTGACTTGTTCATGGCCCCAAATATTGCAAGCTGTAGCGATATGCATATTGCGATATGTACATTTGCGATATTTTGATATTTTGATTGCACAGCCCTAATAATAATTATTAATCACAATATAGCTATTTTTTTATTTTATCTTTGTTATTATACATAAGAACAGATGCAGAAAAAAACAGTAGAACAAATATAAGAAAGAAACGCAGTGAGTGATTTTCTCTTTGTCTTGTTCATGGCCCCAAATATTGCAAGCTGTAGCGATATGCATATTGCGATATGTACATTTGCGATATTTTGATTGCACAGCCCTAATAATAATTATTAATCACAATATAGCTATTTTTTATTTTATTTTTGTTATTATACATAAGAACAGATGCAGAAAAAAACAGTAGAACAAATATAATAAAGAAAATGCATTAGCCTACCTTTTTCATTTTACATCTAAACAAATGCATTACAGTAAGAAAAAACTAATAATCAAATGTAAAAATCCCTTTAGTGTGTTCATTACAAATAAATTGATTATTAAAACTACAAAAGCAGTTAAATCAAGAGCCGCAGGTGATTCACTCTTTTCTTTTATTGTTAGATTAACATTAATGAGACGGCCTATATTAAGACCTACTGTACTGCACGGATCTAATATAATGTTATACATCAGATGTTTTCCCCCAACAGTTCCCCAAACTTTCACTTAAGACATTACAGATTATATTTGTGTGAATACTTAAATACTGTAATTCTGTGTATATGTGTATATTTATTGGGATCGCACGCGCTTCAGATGACAGTCAGCGTGAGAAGCGAGCGGAGAAATGGTACTTCTCTCAGAAAACAAACAAATAAAGGTAATTAAACATCTAAAATTATTATTTGGAGCATTGAGACCACTATACAAGAGCTTAAAGGGATTGTTCACCCAAAAATGAAAATGTGATGTTTATCTGCTTACCCCCAGGGCATCCAATATGTAGGTGACTTTGTTTCTTCAGTAGAACACAAACGGAGGTTTTTAACTCAAACCGTTGCAGTCTGTCAGTCGTATAATGTCAGTGGATGGGAATCACGGCTTTGAGAGTCATAAAACCTAAACAAAACCAAATTAAACCCTGCGGCTCGTGACGATACATTGTGTAAAGACACAAATCGATCGGTCTGTGCAAGAAACAACAGTATTTATATAGTTTTTTCCCTCTGATTTTCACCTCAATGTCTGAACTGTCCTGAGTGCCTTCACGTCGTCTTCTTCAGCCTGCACGTGAGGCGTCTTCTTCTTGCTTTATGGCGGATCGCAGACTTATAAGTGCATTACCTCCACCTATCTCACAAATGGACCATTGACACTCCTGATTGAGATTGTAGATAGAGTGTTACTAAAAAGCAAGTACATAAAGAATTTTTTCCTAGCCTATATAAAAACAAGAATTACTTATGTGGATGCCAGTGAACTCTACAACAGAGAAAATCTATATTATTGAAATGAAGGTTGGTTGCTAACTGTGTCGTTGGGGCCTGTAGCATTGTATGTGAGCTTCAGAGCTCTTTTACTTTATTCATGATCTTTTTTAAATGACATACTATGTTTTAATAGTATTTACTGGACAATGTCAGAATTTATTAGCGTGTGGAAAATCCCTTAATGTCTGGATAGCAGAAGATGGTATCTAGTGCAGAGAATAATATTGCAGCATCCTTCAATTACAATCACTGTCAAGGGAAAAATTGTCTTAAAAATGTAAAAATTAGGTCAAGAAAATGCTTAGTAAACTACAAAATAGTTTAAATAGTTTATGGCCCTTTTTGCTGCAAAATCACAGTGCTGGAGAAGCATGTGCATCACTTTTGTATTAGATGTGGAATTCACAAATATTTAGGCTAGTATAGTTTTGAATTAGGTGATACCAAAACAACTTCTAGAAAACAACACACAATTGTGTAACTGGACTTTTGACTCTATACCTTCAAGTTACTGAAATATTGCTTAACCCTTCTGACAACATCCTTGTGTGACAACTAGCCCCGGTCTCATTTCACACAAGCTTTAGAGATTCCTCATGTGTTGTCTAAAATCTCCCCAGACCAAGGACCACTAGACTTCTTATTATAGAACAAGAAAACAAAAGCAACACGTAGACAAATTCAATGCAGTGTGAGGTTTGCACACTCAGTAGATATACTGCAAGGAGATAGTTTAACGTGTGGATTCGGTAGGCTACATGCTGGCGTTTTGCTCACTGGATAAATGATTTACTTCACAATAATGAAAACCGCTCAAATAACGTTTTTGTTCCGAGGATTCTGTTAATACCTTAACAGACGTAGCTTTGTGTCTAAAGCAGTATCTGGCCAAATACACGCTCAATCCAAACCTCTGCTTCAAATTCTCACGCGCCTCTCGGAGACGCCGATGACTGACGGACACGCTGACGTTTTATTGTAAGCGCCCACCGTTCATTTGAAGCAATAACGCGCTATTGTCACTCGCAATGAAGCCTGTTCGCTAAAGATCACACACTGACTCGATATTTAGCGTGATATGCGTTTACCAAAAATCGTTTTTTGACACTTGGATATGGCTGTGATCATTCATAACGATCTCATACGGGTATGTTGGTAATTTCTCTGGCATTTTCTCTATGGCTTATCGTACACAGTTTAGACGATTATTAGCATACAGTAGCATATTGTAGTAACCCAATGCTCGCGAAATATTGTATATAACCCGTATTCTTTTATGTTCGTCTGTTCACACGGCTAGTGAAATGAAGTTGAGTTGTGAGACGCGAGACAAGCGCGTGTCACTGTCGTATCGCTCCATCAATGACATTGTATATGCGATCTGTACTGAGTAATCAAAATTATGTCTTTATTTATATCGCAAATATTCCTTTCAATATCGCGATTCTGAAAAGGCAGTTGTTTAGCGACAAGATCTGCAATGTGCAGTCCTGCATGGGATATTTTATTATCGAGAACGATCTCCGTCCAGCGTTTTCGATCATTTTGAGGAACTGGAGAAAACTCGCGAGTTAATCATGTTGGACTCGACATAACGCTCGAGCCCTGTTCACCAATAACGTGTGCGCGGCGAGACCAGAGCCGAAGAATTCTGGTGGCGCCTCAGATATGAATGATGATGGAGGCGGATAACGCGGAGAGCTGGTTTCCTCTGTCAGGAAACGGAACCGCACGTTTAAACGCATCTAACCTGGGTTTCCTGAACGCGTCGTCTCCGGTGGGTCTGTGGGGTGATGCTCAGGATAACGAGGTGACACGACTGGAGGAGATCCTGCACGCGCAGGAAAGAGCCTACAAAGATTTCTCTACCACCATTCAAGTTTTCATCCTCATCGGCTCTCTTTTGAGTAAGTAGACAAAAACGAGAATTAAAAATGTTTGGCTAATGATCAGCAAATGTGTGCGGGCTGCACTGGCTTGGCTTAATCTCTAAATATATTTGAATAAAACAAACAATCACATATAACTGGTTAATTGATGCGATAAACGGCATACAGTTTGAGCCTGTTATAAATTAATGGAGAATCGCACTGTGCGTGTGAATGGATAACCACTCTAAAGGTTATAGCTGGGGCACACATTTGATTTGGAATGTGAAAATGTAACAAACATGGTCATAGGCTACATATTTTCCGTGATGAATCACATTTTAGCAGATGTTACATTGTAAGTTCTTATCAAGTGAGAGATGAGAAATTGTAAACAAAGAGCGTTCACACAATAATGACGCACAGGTGTTGTAATTAGTCATGCTACAGCAAATCTTTTCGTTTCACAATCTGTACAATGCAAGCAATTAATGACAAACTAAAAAGTTGTTCTATTCAAACATCAAAAATTCAACAAAAAAAGTGTGTGTGCACAATGTAGCTCTTTGTATAAACAATGTAGGCTACGCTTGGACAAAGCATGGGAATTTATGGGAGGAAGTGATGTTGAATAGCTGTTTTGTGTGATTAGTTTTCTCTTGTGAGCATAAGTGCAGCTTTATGCTTACTTCTTTTGTGAGTAAGTTTATTAAATTATTGACTTCAACTCAGGGATCATTTCCTTTCTATAATCTATGATAATATCTTTCTAAATTTGTAGAAACAACATTTTAATCACAAGTTGCTTGCAACTAACTCTGTGTTAGCGGACATGTCCATACTTTAGATTTTTACAGTACATCACAACTTATTCTGGTATAGCCTAATACAAGCTTATTCTGAGATTCAGATTGCTTTGATAAAAATGATTTTGTTGTCATCGACACTTTGTACAAACAGCTTGTTTTTTCTAAAAACAAAACAAACTGTATTAGAGAGCAGCGCTATTTAAATTATTCGCCATGCCAGTGATATTTCCAAGAAAATGTGTTAAGATGATTGTGTGAATTCTTACACATTGCAGCAAAATGACTATCACATCTAGAAGTCAGTGATCATGCCACAAATCAGAAATAAAGAAATGAGATGTTGTTTTTACTGGGTTCATTCATGCTTCAACTGATACAAACAGAGATGTGTAATGTTTCCTCAGTCAGTCACATGCCATGGTTCTAAGGAGGCTTTTTTCTACACGACAGCCGCTCACTCTGACAATGATACCTGGGACAAAAAATACTACATTTTGTTTACACAGATTACGTATAGGAGCTGTAGAACACGACTGATAATCTTATAGAAAGTATGCAATATTTGGAGAAAGAAGTATTCAGAGCCTTCTCACAGTAAATGAGATTTTAGCGTTGTTTATAGTATAATGTCCTTTTGTTCTTCTTGTTTTTTTTCTTCTGAACTACGTCAGAGGGAGGCAATTTTGTCAGACTCAAACAAACGAGCCATCACATGACTAATTATCCTGCAGAACGCTTAGTATAAATGATCGTAATCCGATGATCTGTTTCTGCACTGGATTAGGGCTCAAATTTCAGAAAAGTTGGGAATTTTGCGTTTCAGACATTCATTGTGATTACTAGTTACGGAAGTCATTGTGGCAATGGGTTAGTCATTATTTCACTCAAGTTTTATCCCTGGCATTCATTTAGCAAACTGCTTTGCGCGTGCTCCCTCCAAATGAAAAAATACAGTTGTTTTTTTTCTTCAAATACTCCACTAACATCTGTCTGTTTGCTGCTTATGCATCCAACGCATACATTTTGAATAATTCTCAAACAAAGAATTTAAAGGGCTATATCATCCATAATTGAAAATTCTGTTATCATTCACTCATGGTATTATCATGATCATCCAAACTTGTTTATTTTTTTTATGTGGAACACAGAAGAAAGTAGCGATACAGGTATGGAACGACATGAGGGTGAGTAAATGATAACAGAATACACATTTTTGGGTGAACTATCCCTTTAAAAACACAGCAAGATTTGATAATCTTCTGATCTGACAATTTAATTACTTTTGAGTGATTTTTCATCATTAAGATTAATCAGGTATGATAATTACAGCTAAGTTAGCCAACAGCCAACATCTATTCTCACACTTCAAAATTCTCAAACATATTAGAAAGAGTTGAGAAACCACTAATGGAACCCCTGTGAAGTTAAATAACACTATTAGCCACAGGCATACTGGAGACTTCTGGGAACAAATGGACAATTGTCCGGCACTGTCAGTGTGCACTCAAAATGTCACCAGAGTAATAACACAAGAGGCAGCTGCAGATGGATTCCACTGTGCTTTGCCTGTTACACCTGTATGGTAATGGGAAAAGATGAAAGTCACAGTGATTGCGGAAAAGATGCACCTTCCAAAAGTGTGTCAAGCGTAATAACGGGTCTGGCTAGAGAGCACCTGTCACCTAAGTGCTCTGTTCACATTAACATCCAAGGAAAGATTCACCTCAGGCTCCATTTCAATTCAAGCCATGTGAATTCCATCATGTCCGTGCATCATTTCTTCAAAGTAAATTAATCTTGCATAGATTTCCACTTGAAGTGACATGTTACATTTCCATTTAGCCCCAAGTAATATTTTTTACATGCTTTCTCTGATTGTTTTAAATACTTATCTATGGTATGAAGAAATGAAGCAAACTATGGAAATGCATATCAGTTACAGCTGTGTTGTCGTGTGTCATGTTAAAGAATAGTATGGTTTCAGTATAAGTTAAGGTCAATGGACAGCATTTGACTTTCAAATAGTCCCTCATGGACTGTGGAAGTAAATAGGACCAGGTTTGGAGTATATAAAAGCAGAAATGTAAAGTTTATAACTATATTAAAACACTTTCCTGTAATAACTTGAGTTATTTAACCCGTAAAACTAAATCATAATTTTTATAGGAATTTTAGGGTTTTACATGATAAATTGTATGTAGTTAAAAAAAACAGTGATACTTTAATTTTAAGTGCTTTACTAACCCTTTTTTTATAGAGATGAAATTTAATTTTGTGGTAATCATCATGCTACAATTGCTCTCAATTGAGCATGTATTGAACCCAGAATAAAATGAATTATCCAAAAAGTGTCTCACCTCATGTGAACATCTCAATATTAGAAACACTTGGTTTCTATGTCTGTGCATGCTAAGCTTTTGCTTCTTCCTCAGATATTTTACCCTGTGCTGTGAGCTTGGTTTGTCCTTCACAGCAGCATTAGAATGCCATACTGTTGCTTACAGGAACCACAAAGGGAACAAGGCTTTTTTCCCCCTTTCAAATTAGCGTGCAACCTTTAGGTACCTCATTGCCATGGGAACTGCTGTAGACAATAAGATGAGGGCTGCTCATGTCCCACTCACATTCAGTTGTGTCCTTAGATACTGACATAGGCTTGTAACCCTCCTCAACCTTTTCTCCTTTTCATCTCTTCGTCCCCAGGCAATACTGCAGTGCTGTGGTGCACTTGTTACACCAATGTCTTCAAATCAGTCACGAATCTCTTCATCAAGAACCTGGCATGTTCTGGTATTTGTGCTGGGTTGGTGTGTGTGCCCTTTGACATAGCCTTGAGTGCCAGTCCCCTATGCTGCCTATGGGTCCATACGCTCCTGCTGTGCAAAGCCATCAAGTTCCTACACAGGCTTTTCTGCTCTGCCACTGTGCTCAGCTTTGCTGTCATCGCCCTGGATAGGTGAGTGGACATGCATGCTAATTCACTAATCTTTTACTGACAGTTAAAGTGTAATTGTTTCAGATTTGAGGTCAATAAGGGTCTCAACCAAACAGTAATTAAAACACTTGGTTAAGATGATAATATGGTGAATGATCTCTTGAGAAAATCTGAAAACTCTTACAGTTGTAGTCAACCCATGGGCACCAGCTGTTTTACAGACTAGTGCTTCCATAGCTACCTACTCCACCAGACCCTTTATCAGTTCATTGAATAATCTATTTTGCCTAGCACAGAAGCCTTACTTGAGACTGACTTATTTTCTGATTTTCCTTTTTTTTTTTTTCCTTTTGTGTCTTTCCTGGGATTTTCATTATGAATCTATCTAATCAATCTATTTATGTATTTTTGTGCACACATAAAGCAGTTTAATTGTGCTATAAACAATTTAGTCCACTAAAAAGTATTATTGTTATGTAACTGATTTAAATAGGGCTGGGAATGGAAATGTTCTTATTTAGTTCATATTCAGAACAAATTCTATTTAAACAAAAAACATTTAGCACAATTAGTGTAGTCCGATTTTAGTGAATCTAAACCATTCAACTCGTATAGTCCGATCTCGAAGCAAAACAGGCTCTTTAATTAAATCAAAACTCTTCAGCACAAGCAGTGTAGTCTAACTGATTCCCAAACAAATTACTTTTATGAGTCGCTTCCTTTTAGTCAGTATCATTCAGTGCAACTTGTATAGTCCGATCTCTAAATAAATGACTCTCATGCACTAGTTCTTCTAAATGAAACAAACTTATTATTAGCATGACCAGTGTATTCCAACTGATTCCCAAATGAATGACTCCTATGAGTTGATTCTTATCAAGCTTAACTAGTACAGTCCAGTCCCTGAACATTAGCCAACAGAAAGCTGCTTGCTTTGAAAATTAATTCTGTGTGAGCTGTGCTTCGTTTTGTCTATTTTAACAATAGGTAATGGACCTTTTTTGCCTTTGAAATTTTACCAAAATGTTGCTAATGTGACTGCACCTTAACAGTGGTGCCTTCCCTGTTTCACTTCCAGGTACTACTCAGCGTTGTATCCTCTGGAGAGAAAGATATCAGATGCCAAATCCAGAGACCTGGTCATCTATATCTGGGTGCATGCGGTGGTGGCCAGCGCCCCTGTTTTTGCCGTAAGCAATGTGACGGATGTCTACGCCACCTCTTCCTGTTCTGACGGCCAATCACTTGGACATCTGGTTTACATGATCACATACAGTATCACCACACTCATTTTACCACTAGCAGTGGTGTTTCTAGCCATGGCACTAATCCGCCGCGCACTAAGCACCAGCCAGAAGAAGAAAGTGATCATCGCGGCACTGCGCACACCACAGAACAGCATTTCCATCCCGTATGTGTCTCAGCGCGAGGCTGAACTTCATGCCACTCTGTTGTCCATCGTTCTAGTCTTCGCGCTGTGCAGCACTCCCTACGCCGCTCTGGTCATATACCGTTCAGTGCTGGGTGCTGCAAAAGCCTCGTCTTGGTTACAGCTGACTGCTGTGTGGCTGCCGAAGGTCTCTCTTCTCACCAACCCCCTATTTCTCCTCACAGTAAACCGCTCTGTGCGGCGTTGTCTGCTTGATATGCTAGCACGCCTGCATCGACGCTATAGCCGAAGGAACATGGTCAGCATTGGGGGTCTGGCTGAAGTAGGGCCACTAGGTGGAGAGACTGTGGTTCGCTCTGGTAGTCAACTCCTGGAGATGTTCAATATCGGCCAACAACAGATCTTCAGACCAAACGAGGACGAAGAAGTTGAGAATGAAATTTTCTCTGTGGCCTCCACCAACTTTCAACCCAAAGATGAAGGACAGAGTGGAAATGGAGGGGTGGCAAGAGAGCTGCATCAGCCGCAGTCAGGGGATGCGGTAAAAGAAGAGGGCTTAGTGTTACCAAGACATTCTCCTATTCAGTCATGTGCCTACTCCTCTTCACAGGTCGCCCCTGCGACTCCCACAGACCCTGAGGATGCAACACAGTTTGGTTTTGGGCCTTTTGAGTTGCCGCCACAATGGCTGCCTGAAACCAGGAACAGTAAGAAAAGACTCCTTCCTCCCTTGGGTAACACACCAGAGGAGCTGATCCAGACCAAGCAGCCCAGAGTTCGGCCCGAGAGACGCATTAGTCGAAACAATAAAGTTAGTACCTTCCCCAATGTGGATCCATGAAACAGAGTGCAGTGGACCAAATCATAAAAAGCCAAGAAGAAAGATTGTTTGTGCTTTATATCTAAAGTTATTTTGAGATGATTTTCTATGTGAGTGCAGAACAATGAAGGACATGGAGAGTATACGTTTACAGTAGAAAGTGGGAGGAGTTTACATGCTCGCTTGCTGTCTATTTGGACGATTTAATAGACATCCCTTCATCTCCATGTACTGACAGAACAGGAAATTGATCTTTCACAGGAAATGCAAGAAAAAAATAAGGTAGGCATGGATTGTATGACATTTGTTTTGGTGGAATGGTCAATAAAATGAATCACAATAATTTTTATGTAGATACGTTTGCTGTGTTGAATTTGACTGATGTGTCCTTCTTAACTGATGTTTAGCATATTCTATTTCACATAGCTTGAACAGCTAGTTAGAAACTAATGCATTGCACTCAAAATTAAAATATTATTGATTATAAATTAACTTTCATGTACACTACCATTCAAAAACATTTTTTCATGTTTTTGAAAGTCTCCTAATGCTCTCCAAGTCTGCATTTATTTGATCAAAAATGCAGTAAAAACGGCAATATTGTGAAATATTACAGTTACAAATAACTGATTTCTATTTAGCTTACGTTTGGAATAGCCTGTATTTGAAAATATATTTTACTACATTTTAAGGTAAATCACAAAATCATGTAAAAAAAAAAAAAACATTTGTGGGACCAATAATATATTTACTTGTTTTAGAATTTTGTTTTCATGAATAGAAAATTCAAAAGAATTTCATTTTACAGCATTTGTTTGAAATAGATTTTTATAACAATGTAAGTATTTCACTGTCACTTTTGATTAATTTAATGCATGCTTGAATATATTTCTTAAAACACACACACACAGACACACCTTACCCCAAACTTTTTAATAAATACTTAAACTACTATGTATAGTAGATGTGGATTTAGTAGATGTGGTATTTAGTAATGTAATTTATATGCATAAACACTCAATAATACTGTTTTATTCAGGGAAAGATGATCCATTATTGACAAATAAATGAGGGGAAAACATTCCATTCAAGTTTATTTGTATAGTGCTTTTCATGATATAAATCGTTGCAAAGCAACTTTACAGCAAATTAGGTTTCTACAATATTTAGTAGTAGCTTATCAGTGGTGACTGTCAGTTAATGTATGGAAAAATCTATTAAATAATCAAACAGACGATGAACACTATTAACAGCAATTATTATAATATGATGCAATCAAACTTATAGCAAAATTTGGTAGTTCTGTATGTTGTTTCAGGGTTGGCATCATCTGAGGTCCTCTGAGGGGTTGGCATCATCTCTTCTCAGGTGTTCTGGATCCAGACTGAAGCTTGTGTAAATCCTAGTTATTTGACATCCTGTGGCAAAAACAGAGAAACAAATAGAGACATAATTAGCGTAGCTGCTGTTCCAACCAAGCAGAGTTGATTTGTTTTTAACCCAAGCTAAAGAATAATAATGTGCATTTAATCAGATATAACTGCAGTACAAGATTATGAGATGCATTATTTGAATGCTTGGCCAAAGAGATGTGTCTTTAATCTAGATTTAAACAGAGAGAGTGTGTGTCTGAACACCGAACGTTATCAGGAAGGCTATTCCAGAGTTTGGGATCCAAATGCGAAAAAGCTCTACCTCCTTTAGAGTAGAAAAAAATATTTATTTCAATCATATCTGTCCAATTATACAATAAAGATTAGGTCTTTAAAAAGCTAATTTAAATGCTGACGATAAAGGGACACGGTTTTGACATTAAAATGTTCATAAAATGTCCACATCTATTTTATGTCACTGGTTCATTAAATTTCTTCTACTGAGTTCCTCAATAATTGACCGTTATTCAATATGCAAGTACATCTATCCTCATTAAACACATTTTCATAAAAAGAAACATTGTTTCTCTGAGTTAATCACCCTTTATAGCAAAAGCAAAGCTAAAGATTAAGCACTTGCATGTGACTGAGAAGAAAAAAACATTTATTGAAGAGGGCAGCTTGTTTTCCCCCATATCCCCCAAAAGTCTTGATGCATTTTAAAGTTGTTTAATCTGTTTTTCAAATCCAGAAACCACTAGCTTGGATTCCTACTTGAGCTACACTACAACTGGTATGTGGAATTAACATAATACTTGTGCTCTTTTCCACAATGCTTTAATGTATAAAAAACATCAAGCAAAAGCATTCTTTGGAAGTACACTGTCATCCATTTACATGGCACTTTAAATTTTTTTTTAAAATAATGCTATTTTCATGAATTTCAAAGCATTAATTAAATTGTCTGATGGACGCAGTACATGCCTCTCAAATTCAGTTAAAATAAATACCTCAAAATTTAAGGCAAGGGTTCATTTAGCTAGAGTTGCCTAGTGTCATGAACTGCTCAGAGACATGAATGCTGAGGATCCAAACACAGTGATTATTCAGAGGGTAATCCACAATCATGATCCAAACAATAACAAGAAACACAGACAAAGAGTAATCCAGAACAAGGGGCAGAAACAACCAAGACACAGGAATAACGGCTCAGAAATGTAGTACTTAACACATGCAGATCTTCACAACCAATGAACTGGGCTATATATAGGGTGAGCAGGCAGGGTTAATGAGACACAGAAGCAAACAATGAGTGCTGATGAGTCTGGGCAAAGGAATATGGGAAATTAAGTCCAAGACTGTGTGACAGAGGTATGAAATGGAGTGTCCTCTGGTGGTTATCAAGGGAACTCCAGCTGGTGATTGTGACATAGCCCCCCCCTTAAGGAGAAGCTTCCAGGAGGGAGGTGGAGCAGTGGCAGAACAGGGGTAGGGATGAAGGGCCAGGCCCAAGGACAGGAAGTAGGACTGAAGATTGAGGGGAATCGGGGAGCCAGGGTGGAGCAGAAGACCACCAGGATGGAGCAGGCAGAGCAGAAAACCACCAGGGTGGAGCAGACTGGACTAAAGATCCCCACGATGGAGCAAAAGACCTCCAGGGTGGAGGTGAGGACCATTTCAACGGAGCTGATGGTGCAGGGGACCACCAAGATAGCTCAGGCTGAGCAGATGTCCACCAAAGTGGAGCAGATGAATCAGGAGACCACCAAGGCGGATCAGGCGGGACACCAAAAGAGAGCACAAAGGGGTTAACAGCGGCCTCTGCAGCCATAACAGGACAGGCAGACAGTTCAGAGACCGCATCTTTGGCCATGACAAGGCAGGCTGATAGTTCAGAGACAGCCTCCGTGGCCGTGACAGAACAGGCGAAGAGCTCAGAGACGGCCTCCTTGACCGTGACAGGAAAGTCCGGCAGCTCAATTGTGACCTCTGTGGTTGAGACAGGACAGGCAGGAAACTCACAGACTGGCACCAACACAGGACTGAGCTCTAAGGCTTATGTGAGCTCTGGTGCAGATTCATGGACTGGAGCGGACTCATGGACTGGAGTGGGTTTTGGAGCAGACTCATGGACTGGAACAGGCTCATGGACTGGAGAGGACTCTGGAGCGGACTTTGGAACGGACTCGTGGACTGGAGCGGACGCTGCTGCCTCTGAAGCGTGTCTATCCCAGACACACAAAATGGCAACTGCCATTACTGGAAGGGCAGCAGAAGGTGGAAGAACCTCTGAGATCGCCGGGCTTATGAGTGCTGAGGTCACCGGGATGCCTGCCGCTCGCACTGACATCAGTGGTGGGTCCGCCACACTGGACATCAGTTCAACGTTCATGACAGCTGGGAACACTGGCGTGGAGTCCATGATGGCTCAAGACTCTGGTGTGGCAGCCATCTTGCAGAGAGGCTCTGGACTGGCGGCCATCTTGTGGTGACAGTCTATAAGGTAATCCAAAATGCAGCGGCTAGAGTCCTTACCAGGTCAAGAAAATATGATAAACATTACCCCAATTTTACAGTCTCTGCACTGGCTACCTATTAAGTTCCGTATCAGTTACAAAATATTATTACTTACCTACAAGGCCCTTAATGGTTTAGCTCCTGCGTACCTAACTAGTCTTCTACCACACTACAATCCATCTCGCTCCCTAAGGCCGCAAAACTCTGAACTTTTGGTAGTACCTAGGATAGCAAAGTCCACTAAAGGAGGTAGAGCTTTTTTGCATTCAGCTCCCAAACTCTGGAATAGCCTTCCTGATAACTCCATACATTTCTGCCATATGTACATTAACTGACAGTCACCACTGATAAGCTACTACTAAATATTTTGTAGAAACTTAATTTTCTGTAAAGTTGCTTTGCAACGATTTGTATCATGAAAAGCACTATACAAATAAACTTGAATTGAAAACTTGAATTGAATTGAGAGGCTCTGGACTGGCGTCATCTTGTGGAGAGGCTCTGGACTGGCGGCAATCTTGTGGAGAGATTCTGAGCTGGCAGCCATGATGGGTCGGGGCTCTGGAGTGGCAGCCATGACAGGATGAGGCTCGGGAGTAGAAGACACTACATACACGATCCTCAGTAAATCTGAACGTGCTCCTCGAGGGTACGATTACCTTGGCGCAGGCGGACTAACTCAACTGTCGGATCCATAGTAGTGAAGTTTTCTGTCATGAACTGCTCTGAGACATGAAGGCTGAGGATGTGCCAAACACAGTGTTTATTCAGAGGGTAATCCACAAATGTGACCCAAACAATGACAAAAAAGAAACCGACAAAGAGTAATCCAGAACAAGGGGCAGAAAAAAAGACAAAGGAAATAATGGCTCAGAAAACGGTCTGATGAGTGCTGATGAGTCTGGGCAAAGGATTATGGGAAATTAAGTCCAAAACTGAGTGACAGAGGTATGGGATAGAGTGCCTTCTGGTGGTTATCAAGGGCACTCCAGCTGGTGATTGTGACACCTAGCAACTTATAACCCAGTCTGTGGCATGTAGAAGCAGAGTGGGATTTACAAGCCTGCTTCGTCTGCACTGATTGGAGTGTTTTTGAGTCTGCAGTCACCGATCTGGATGAGCTCACAGAGACTATAATATCATACATTAGTTTCTGTGAGGATATGTGCATTCCTACCAAAACTCATTTCACTTACAACAATGACCAACCATGGTTCATTGCAAAACTCAGTCAGCTCCGTCAGGCCAAAGAAGATGCTTACAGGAATGGGGACAGAGTCTTGTAAAAACAGGCCAAAAATACACTGACGAGATCAAATGGGCTAAGAGAAACTACTCCGAAAAGCTGAGGAATCAGCTTTCGGCCAATGACCCTGCATCAGTGTGGAAAGGACTGAAAGACATTACCAGTTACAAGATACCATCCCCCAGCACTGTTGTAT